AGATAGATATGGCCAAGATTCATAAGTACAAGAATGAGATTACAAAAAGGAGACATATCTGAAAAATGAGGGGAAACATGATAAAAACTGAGTTAGAAAGAGGGCATAGAAGGGGAAATTATTTATATTAATTATTATTAATGCTAATTTTCCCACTGCCTCCAGCAAACCAAGAGCAAGATGCACCATGCCAGTGCAGCAATGTACTGTGGGTCCTGATGTGGCAGCACTCCACCTGCTTATCTCTGTAGAAGAGGCATTTTAAGCTTTCTAAGAGAAAGCAAGAACTAAATGGAAGTGAGAACTTGAGGGAGAAAGGCAGGTCAAGAACTTGAGGGGAAAGGCCCTCATTATGATTTCTCTTCAGATACATTTTCTCTTTCTTCAGCACCAACTGTATTTTTCAACAAATAAAACAGGATTGGATTTTTAAATTCTGCTGGTTGTTGCAGATTCCCAGTCTGTGGTGGCATTGCTCAGTTTCTGCTTTCCAGTATGAATCTCCCTCTAAAAATGTCCTGGTCTTTTCTTGGTGCATTTATTACCTTGTTTGGTTTTGTAGCTCTCAGAGACATTTTTTGGGGGCCACAATGGTCTGTTTGATGCAAGGTATTCAAGATCAAAAAGGAAAGAGGAATGTAAGAACTAAGAAATCCAAGACCTGAAATGGGTGCTGCCCAGTTTTCTGAATTTTTGTTAATGTCTGGGTGATTTGTCTAAGAATTGACAAGTTCTAATTGAGGTTTTGTCCCTGCTTGGGATATTTATGAATTATACCCCCATGTGTCCTTTTTGGATCTATTAAGCTGTGAATGCATATTGTAGATGTGGCCTTTCAGCTAGGGCGTGTAAGGTCTCTACTCATCACTGCTTTTCTTGAATTTTTTTGGCATTCAATTGTCTTGGAAACATCTCTGGCTCTGTAAAATGTGGTTCACATCAGTTGTTGGGATCAAACGCCGATGCATAAACAGATCCATATGACAGGGTTGTTTTTATATTTGTTTTCATACATAGCAAAGCTAAAATTAAAGGGACAGATGGGGTGTCTGTCTTCTTTCCTGTGTCTCCCCATATTCTGTTGAACGGAGGTCTAGCATATCTCAAAGAAGTACTTCCCTTTGGGAAGGGTGAGGCAATTAGATATGAACCAAAAGCCCTGAGGGGAGCTAATGGGTCATCACCCCTGGTTGCCATGAAAGAACGGGAAGGTAATGATGCGAGATGTGGAAAGGTCTGGTGTCAGTGGTAGGTGGTACAGGTCATCTCAGAGAGTCTGCACACTCCCAGGGGTTTGAATTGCACGGGAGCAGGTGACTCCAGCTGGTTCCCAGGTGATGCAAGAGCTGCAGATCCAGGCAGATCCCTTGTCAGCCGCTGAAAAGTTGTGTGCGTGCGTGTGAAATTTCTAGGCTTAATCTGCATTACAGTGTGTGTGTGCATGCATGTAAGCTTTCTGCAGAGCTCTAGAGCATGTGTGTCATGTGGGGTGAGGCCAGAAAAGCAGATGTCCTGACCATGCCCCTCCTACTCAGGGATTAGAGATGCTCAGGGGACAGCAGAGAGAAGCTGGGACACACTTCCCTGACTCACTGCCAGAGACAGCAGCAGCTTCTGCAGGTTCAATAGGCCTCTGCTCTTTGGTCAAATACAACCCTGCAGCTCCATTTCCAGCAACCATCCCCTTCTTTTGGTTAACCAGAGAGGAGGAGGATGGCCTATGCTGAGGAAGACAGGTAAGGTGCTGTGAAATAGGGGATGCACGGATGTCCAAGCTGGATGGGGCTAACAAAATTACATTGCTTTTCCTCACCTTGTTTCCTTTCTACTGGGCACTCAATAAATGTCAGACAAAGGCTGCTCAGAAGTAAACATCTTATTATTGGAGAGGAATCTGGCCATCTGCCTGTGCAGGTGCTGGTATTATGAAATATGGCAGTGAGTAGGTGACCTTGGGAGAGGTTACGGGCCAGAAGAGGCAAATATCTCCTGTGGAGAGGCACAGACTGTGAATACATATGGCCATGTGCCCCCAAACGTAATGCTTTAGCTGTATATTGGGATATGTCTGCTTTTTTACATAGATTTGCTTTCGGCCAACTTAGAAGCAAATAAGAGTGGGGTTTTTTTCATGCCATAAAAGATCTGTCACCGGTGACAGTCCTGTGCTTTGCAACAGATGTGTTTCTCCAGTGGATGACAGCAATCACAATAAAGGGGATTGTGTTTTCAGCTGATCCTGTGATTTAATCCAAAGCAATGCTACCAAGCACTATTATTAGGTGTGCATTGTTAGAGCAGCTAGAGGGGCCTTTGTGCTACATGTATTAATTCAAGCTGTCAAAAAGCTTGCACAGGCCTTGTGCTCTTGCAGTTCCAGGCCAAACACTCTGCTTGGTGACCCACGGGTCACGCTCCCCCTTTGCTCCTGCTGAGCAGGTATCTCCCTTGCATTCAGAAATTATCAGTGCTTGCCAGTCCTTTTGATGTCATCCGGAAGGTTTCTGAAAGCTAAATACTGCAAGCAGATTAATTTTGGCATCGCTGTGCTCTCAGCACTGGGGACAGCTCTGATGTGCCCAAAGCTTTTGGGATGGACAGGGCTCTGCCAGGCCTCTGTGCTCTTGCTGGAGCTCCTTTCAGGCAAGGAAACATATGCAGCACTGGAGATTTACTTCTTTGGTTAAGAAGCATTTTAATATTTTCTGTTTAAAAGGAAAACATTTCACTGTATCTTGTCATAGCTTTGTCAGTCCTGATGTCTTCAGCAGACATTGAATGGGTTCCATCCCACATTCCTAAAATTTCTGAGGATATAGGAATAATATCCATTCTTTAATGTCATTTTGCAATGGTTTATGCACTTAAAAAAATACCGAAACAAGCAGTATTATGGTCATGAGGAAGAGCAGATTCTGGTGACCTGCTTCTTTTCTCATGCCTGCCACAGGTATGTCAAAACCTTGGGCATTACATATAAATTCTCTTGGCTCCCTTGAATTTCTAAACAAGGATTACAGTTATTCAACAGAGAAACTGGGGGGAATTGTTCATTAATATATGTAAAACACTTTTAAAGCTTTTGTCTGGAAGCAAGTGATAACGTAGTCAAGTGTAGTCTTTATTAATGTCATTTTCACAGCTCCTGCTTATTTCAGGAGCTCATGATGCACTTAGAAAAATTCAGTATGTGATGGTAAATAAACTCTCTCCTTTCCAAACTTTCCCTTTGGAAAGTACTTCAGCTAAGTATGACTCTTCATTTTAATCTATGTGTATGGAAGTTATTTCTTCCCATTGGATTGTAGGTTTATGACATTTTTGTGTATTTTTGACATTACAGTTTATAACTAGGACCATAAGTTCAATGTATCTTATGTTGGAAGATACTTACAGTAGTAACTAGACAGTTAAGAGGCTAAATGCTCACAGAAAACACCTGTGCAATAACTACTGACCCTGTCAGTGTAAAGAAAGAACAAGCATATCTGGTACTTTAGTTGGAAGAACCAATCCTCTTAGTGGCCTGAGACTTCCTGGAGTGAGGAGCACCACTGCCTAAGCTTTTCTGCCTGTCCTCTAAGACTGCTGAGAGCAGCATTACAACATTACTGGGGTTTACAACTCTTGAAAAAAGAGACTTGATAATAAAGAACCAAAAGAAACATTCCTGGATAGATAGTGAGTGCTTATCAGCACCTCCAGTCAATTTTACATCACCTGCAGCCTCACAGTATCTGATTTTCTCACCTTTCAATAATCAGATTGACTATTCATACAGAGAACAGCTGCCCCTGCCTGTGGGTTCACTCCAGGACCCACTTCTCTACCATGTACAATCATTAATTCTACTCATTGATGGTAATGATTGAGTTGCTTCCAAGAACTGCTACAAGTACTCCTGCTTTTGAGGATAGTTTCCAATCAACCTTGATATTGACTTTCAGAACATGTCTGCATTGTCCTATTGGAAACAGGATTATAGGATTATTTTGCTATTGATTGTGTTTCAAAACTGTGATTAAGGCATCTGAATACTGGGCTAAGAGGTTAAAAGTTGAACTCTTCTCCTTTCCCATGAGACAGATGTACAACAGGCACTGTAATGCCAATTTCTATCCCACCTTCAGGCAATGGGGCTCCCTGCTGCATTAGACTTTTTTATAACCAAGGTATTTGCTGAGTCCCCCTCTTGAATCACTTTAAACTCTTGAGCCCAGGTTCCTGGTTTTCACTTGTTTTGATGGAGACTGATGTCACTGGGCCTCTGGCTATGTCTGGACTGCAGGTGTGATCCCATGCCCACTCTGTGGGAGAGAAGAAGCTGAGTAAAATCTCCCTGATTGTCCTTCTGTACTGAAGGCACGAGGTGTTGAGGAGGTGGGTGTCTGACATGTGGCACCAGCCTAGATGGAAGTAGTGGGAGCTGATGGCGCTCAGCACTTACAGAGATTGGCTTCTCCATCTCTGTAGATGATGCTTCACCCATGTCTCAGAAGTTTACCTGAATCTTTACCTTCTGCAGATGACAGTGTCTAGTCCTTAATCAGCACAGCATTCCAGCTGTGTTGTTCAGGTGTCTTCAGAGCTCCACACACTTGTATTTCCCCATCACAGGCTGGACATCCCCATGCACACTCATACAGATTGGAATTTCTCTGTCTAATTGTGCTTTTGCCTTTCTTCAGTTACTCGGGAGAGAACAGAGCCCATCAGAAGCAGGAGTGGTTATACCTTGTGACATTTCTGTGATCTAGGTATCATTAGCCATTCTTCATCTACAGAATGAAACCAGCCAAGGGGATTCAAATTATTTCCCCGTAGTCAGGGGTAAAATATATGAGATTAAAAGCGATGCATCTTCAATAATAGCAGTGAAGCTTCTATTATTATAGTCTTAATGAAATTTCTTTTTCTCTGCACCTTTTCAGGAGTTTTATCCTTTAAAGATTGTTCTTGGAATGGGCTAGCAGTCTCACTGACCTGTTCTCCTCCTGCAGAAATAGCTACGAGGTGTATAAGGAGGCAGCAGACTGGCTGCGTGCCCGTGCTGCCCAGCAGCCCAGGATCGCCCTCGTCTGCGGCTCTGGGCTGGGAGGTCTGGCTGATGTGTTGGAGAACAGGACAGTCTTCCTGTATGAGGACATCCCTCACTTCCCACGGAGCTCAGGTGAGCACAGCCCAGGGCATCAGCACCCACCCACCAGCAGCCTGCAGCAGAGCCCCACACAGGGATCACTCAGGTCTGCAAACCTCCCAACCTCCCACACCGGCCAAATGTGTGTCTGTAGTAAAATCCATAAATATAGCACAGACATAGGTGCTATTTATTTAGGTGTATCTATAGGTTTATATATTTATTTGATTTCCAGCTCCTGCTTTTGCAGTGCTTGGCCCTGCAGCAAAGCAAAAACATCAACTAACAGATCCCTCTAAAGTCAAATTCCTTGAGACCTGTGACTAAAATGAGACTGTGTTAATTTCCAGTGTCAGGGCATGTTGGCAGATTGGTGTTTGGGGAGCTGAATGGACAGCCCTGCGTGTGCATGCAGGGACGTTTCCACTCCTACGAAGGCTACTCTCTCAGCATGGTGAGTTCTCCTTAAGGAAAATATTCACGTAGGGGAGATGCATTGTAAAAGCTGCAGCACTGACTGCTTGCCTTGCTATCTAGCTGCAGGATGGTAGCTCTTGCAATGAACTTACATTGCTCTTGAAATGAGTCTTTCTTAGATTTCAGATCTGCCCCCAAAAAAATTGAAGTTCAAACCAGGAGGTAGTTGGCTTCTGCTGAGTGAAGAAGATGCCGCACAGCCATACAAATTGGCTGACCCTGCTACTCTCACAGGGAGAAATAATTAATCATATAAGGCAGATGAATTTACATGCTTTAACTTAGTCAGTTTAATCATGATTTAAATCAGCAATGAGAAAACTTCAATAAGAATAATCTATTTTAATCTTCTATTGCATTTATATAGTTTACAGCTTTTTTTTTTTTCCTAGAAAAAGTTCCCAGGATACTGCAAGCTACTATAACCTCCCAGCTAACATACTGGAATGTGTGGAGATTTATGTTACCTACCATATATGTACTTTCCTGCTAGAAAACAACAATAATATTTATTTATTGGCTCTTTTTTTATTTGGATAGCTCTGTGATTTTCCTTTTTTGCATTGAGGTTGTTTGTATTTGGATATAAACTGTAATTTTTGGTACCACCCAACTTCTTTTAGAAAAACAGCTATTTTAAAGTCACTCAATACAAAGTTAGCTTTATCAAGACATGTTAGTCTATTAAAATTAACTTACTTCTTGAAGAGGTGGTGTCCATTACTAGGAAATGTTTTGCTCACAGTAGCATTTGATTGATAGCATGCATCATCCAAATTCCTTTGTGACTCCTCAAAATCAAACTTTTTAATTTTTTTTCTCTCCAGCTCCCAACTGATCCTTAGCTTTGGATTACTCTCCAAGTCCATGTGCATAAATAGTTACTTCAATCAGCACAGTGGTTTGATCTCTGCAAGACCTTGGCAGTGAGCAAAAACTATCTGCATGTTCTTTCCGTACCACCTTTATTTGACCTTAGTGCAACTGTGGTCTTGGATTTTAATGCGAGACTTTGTTTCATTGCAAGATTATATTTAATTTGTTTAAAAAGCATTAACATTCTATTTAAATTAGAGGAATGTTTAAAATTGCTTGTTTTGTCTCCCTATGTAGACTCTTTGCATGCACAAATTGTGGCATTACAAATGCAGCAGCAGTAGCTGTCTGCTGACTGTGATACTCATTGCACATATGCTTTTGGTTCTTGCAGATCACCTTTCCCATCAGGGTGTTCTTTCTCCTGGGGGTGGAGATCTTGATTGTCACAAATACTGCTGGAGGACTGAATCCCCACTTCCAAGTGGGGGACATCATGTTCATAAGGGATCACATCAGCTTGTTTGGCTTGGGAGGGCAGAATCCCCTGCGTGGACCGAATGATGAGCGGTAAGAAGGCGTCGGCTCCACTGTTACCAATGGATCTTTTCTTCCTTCAGCCATGGGCTGGCACTGCCAGTTGTGCCTGCTGACAAATATTTACTGAGAAGCAGAGTTTGGCTCCAGGTAACCACAAGGGAAGAGTTACAGCAATAGCTGTATGTGCTGTGCTGCCTGCCCTGCCTTCCCTTGGCTGTTGCTTACTTTTACAAGCCTACAAGGACACACAAACCCCCAGAAGGTTTTGTTTTGTACAACTAGGCTTCTGATCCTTCTCCTGACATGACCAGCTGTACCATCTGCTAAAGACACCCACTGCTCCTCTTCTTATCAGCCCTTCTCTCTGTTGGTTCCTCTTAACTGAGCAATCAGTGAACTGTGCTGCCTCCAGCCTGGATTTATCAACAGCCTTTTCTGGTGTGATGGAATGGGTACAGCAGAGGCCAGGCAGTAAGTGGAGGGCAGAGCAAAGGTGAAACCTTTAAAATTCCTGATCACCACTGCTGTATCCAGGTCTTTAAACTGGAGTGCCTTTGTATTCACTGAAGGCATTGCTCTGATGAGGGGTGGTTGTCTTGGCAGCTTTTTCAGAGACCTTGAGATCTACAAAAGCCACCTCCTGCTGGCTGAACTGGGAAGTCAGGTTTCCTGTACTGGCTGTGTAGCAGAATCTTTACCTTACTGAGAGTGCAGAGAGGAGCTTCTAAGATATCCTCACCCCTGAACTGCAGTTGCCAACAGATTTGGATTTGCTTTGAGCAAGCTACTGGACTAGATGACCTCAAGATCCCTTCAAAAAATGAATTTTTGATCCCAAAATCCTTCCAAGATACTATCAGACTGGTAAGGTGGAAGACCCATCATGAAAAAATGGACGTGTTTGCAGGGCAAGCATCTGGATTGTCCTCAGATCTTTCCAGAGAGAAAGTTCTGCTGAGAGTAAAGTGGCCTGCCTGGCTTTCAATTAGTTCCTTCCTGATGTAACAGCAGACCTGGCTCTTGCTTCTGAAAGAATCTGAAAGGTGCTGGCAGCTGCCTCAGGAGCAATAATCACTGTGCCGCGATTCCATGGCAAGAGGACAGTACCCATCTGAAGTGGAACATCTTTACATTTTTGTAGGTATTGCCGTGGGTTGGAGGAAAGTGATCAAAAGCAGAGAAGCTACATGGTGTGTTTAAAGCTCTCTGGACTTGCATAATTGCTCTGGAGCAGGAGGAGAAACTCCAATCAAACAACTGCATCTGGACAGCGTTCAAAGGCAGCATAGCTGCCTCATTGCCTCCCAAAAGCAGCTTCTTGGTGAAGACTGCAATGCTCTGGGAGGTGACTTCTGTACTGCTGACCAAGGCAACAAAATGGGCAAAAGGTCTTTATGAATCAGGTTTCAAAGTATTGCAGAGATTTAGCTGAGCAAACTCTGAAAATCCTGTCCAGCTGAGCTACCGGGAAGGATTTATCTAAGCACAACAGAGCAAAACTAGAGGCAATGAAGTGATGTGGAAATAATATTTTTTAATAAATTAGAGATTGGGCTTCTGCATTGCTGGCCATCCTTCAGAGAGGGGAAGCAATTTTTATGGTGATGAATACTTATTACCTTAGACCAGAAGGGGAAGTTTGTTTTTATTTATATAATATTTAATGTTTATAAAAACAAAATAAGCCACCTACTGCCCTAAGCATTCGGCTGGAAGAACATGTAAACAAGCAGAAGCTTTAATAACATAAATGAGGGACCTGCTCCACTCGTACTGAACTGCGTTGGTGAACATGGCTGGGAGTTTATTTTCCAGGTTTCTTCAGTGGCAGCATAACAATCTTTGCCATCTTCTTCTGCTCTCCTTGGGTCAAGAGCAGATTTCACCCCATCAGGAGTGGGACTCACCTATTTTAAGACCTAAAGCAAGAGATCCAGTCTTGAAGCAGAAGATGAAAGCTACCTAAAATATGGCCCTGGAGCTCCAAGATGTAAAGTAGCTGCCTGCTGTGATGGGCCTTAAATGCAGGGACTGATGCTCCTTCAGGCCAGGCTCAAACTCCCACCCAGGGACAGCCTGAGGGACTCTGTGCCTCAGAGCAGCAACTGTCTGGTGGGAAATGTTTACCAGACATCATGAGCAGTTACTGAGGAGAGAGAGGACTGGCCATCAGTGCTCCCTAGAGACAGGAGCCCTTGAAAAACTATTCCAGAAGGGTTCCTGCAGAAGGGAAGTAGTGCCAGACCTTCCAACAGCCATAAGCTCTGTGTGCTGACAGTCTTGGATTACTAGATCTAGCAGGAATGTCATGCCCAGGTAGGTGCCCCATTCCTGGAAACATTTAAGGTCAGGTGGGACAGGACTCTGAGCAACCTGATCTAGCTGAAAATGTCTGTTGCTGTCAAGGCAGGACAGGAAATAAGAAGACTCGGACTCAGAAGATGCTGAGAGTAAAACTCCGGTTTATTCAAAATACACTGCTCTTTTATACAGAGCTTTGTGAGGACCAACTCCATTGGTCCTGAAGTGAAAACAACTCAACTCCATTGGTGCTTGACACACAGTGATAGAACTTAACTATAAACAATGTGAATAACAAGAGAGATAAAGAATTATTTACATTATTTTCCAACTCTTTCCCAGGCTTCTGCCTGGCTAGAAACTCTCCGTTTCTCTCTTTGACTGAATCTGAGACCCACAGATGTCCCTGCTCACTGCATGGATTTTGATGAGATGGCCTTTGAAGGTCTTTTCCAACCTAAACTATTCCATGATTGATGGCAGAATTACCTGATGATAAAAGCAGAATGAGAGAGGTTGCGTCCATGGCAGGTCTGCACTTAACACTTCTGCAGTAGCACTATCACACATCTGTGTCCTTTACTGCCTTTCAGGTTTGGAGTGAGGTTTCCCTGCATGTCAGATGCTTATGAACAAGATCTGCTTGGGCTGGCGATGGAGAGTGCCCAGGAGCTGGGGTTCCTGAGCTTCACCAGGGAAGGAGTGTACTGCATGCAGGCTGGGCCCTGCTACGAGACCATCGCCGAGTGCCGCCTGCTGCAGGCACTGGGAGCTGATGCTGTGGGTGAGCTGCCAGCCTGGGCTGCCAGGGTTCTTTGGGCACATGGATTGAACAGTTAATTCTGCTCAAGGCTGACTTGCTTCAGTCTTTGACTCTCTAAGTCTCCTGGGGCTAGAGAAATGAGCTCTGTGTATTTCTGCTTCATTCTGCAGTGGCTTAGTGCAGCTCCTGGGAGGATCTGCACAAAGTCCCTGTGCTTACAGCTGTGCAGGGTAGGGATCCCAGCACAACTTTGTGTTTATTTCCCAAACACAAAGTCTCTCATGCTCAGATGGCTCCACTTCAGGCGGACTGAGTGGGGCTCAATAAAAATGAAGTCTTTTCCTAGTATTTTTCTTCTAATTCTGACATTGTAAAGATTTTCACTGTACTTTTTCTCTACAAACCAGCCTTTCTTATGAGTCTTGTTTAGGGATGGTAATCGTGGATACCTTCCCAACTGTGTAAAAGAAAACTAAATGCCATGATCCATATGATTCCTCCAGCTATGATTCCTTCTATGACCCCTGGCCCATGGAAGTTTGTATATTAATACCTGCAGATTTGTTGCATGTGCGGAAAGGAGTTCAGCTCCCCTCAAAAACATTTTTATTTCTAAAAATATAAAAAGCAATATATAAATTTTATATAAAAAGCAATAGCTTTATATTTTATATAAAATGCAATTGCTTTTTTAGCCAAAGAAGAGCCAAATGACACAGCACATCAGTACTTCCTTAGCAAGTCTGCAAGCAGTCTGACACATCTTGAGGAGGGAGTTGTGGCACGAGGATCAAATGCAGGAGGTTTATTGTGCTGAACAGAGTTATAACTGTAGTCTGCAGCAATTTGAGCCTTGTACATATCACAGCCTTTAACTATTACAGAGTTCAGACACAGAGCTGTGGGGAATGAGACAAGGGCGTGTGCTTGGAGGTAGGATTGTGTTTGCAGCCTTGGAGAGATTTTGTTTTGGTGTAAATCCTGACTTATTCTGGTCCTTTCCTCTCCTCCTGTAGGCATGAGCACTGTCCCAGAGGTAATTGTGGCCAGGCATTGTGGCCTCCGAGTCCTTGGGATCTCCCTCATCACCAACAAAGCGGTGATGAGCTACAGCAGCCAGGAGAAAGCCAACCACGAGGAAGTGCTGCGCATCTCGGTGGTCCGGGCTGAAGCCCTGCAGAAACTGGTCACCCACCTCCTTGGGAAACTGGGGGAAAGCACAAACTCTCTATGACCTCCAGCCATTAATCCTGCATATCATAACGTGTGTGAACACTACCAAGCGCTGGGGGAGAGCTGTTGGTGGGACTGTCCCCTTCTCTCCCAATTTTAAATAGACCTTTTGATCTTTGTGCTTTATCTGATTAGGTGCAGAGGTTCAGTTTGAATTTTGCCAGGATGATCCCCTCATTAATAGCTGGTGACCAAAACAGCTTACTGGCACTTCAACATTCTGGCACATTCCCAAACCCCAGTGTCAGCAGAGCCCCAGAGACTGTGACCTCCAGCTGTCTCTCTTGGGACACCCCCCTGCCCCAAGTCTCTGCTCCCCACTGCACATGAGCCAGGTCAAGAGCTGGTCATGGGGCTTGGTGCCTGCTGGGCCTGCTTTTCACTGTCTGAAACCAGTGGAAGCCCAGGAAAAAAATGAGTTTTGGATACATGAAATGGGCCAGGATAAAGACGAGATCTGCCTGGAACAAGCAATGGTGCAGAGCAGGTGAATCGCCATTGATTTTACAGCTTTGCCAGGGGAAGTCATTGTGTGACTTCCCCTCCCAGAAGGTCTCCCAGAAGAGCCACTCTTTCCTCATCCTTGGCACCTCATCACCAGCTGCAGAGCTTAGTAGCTGTTTGCTACAATGCAGCACATCCCCAGCACTCCTCACACCTCTCTATTTTGTTTTATTGCCCAATTTAGCAGGACATGAAAATTCAGCTCAGTACAAGGCATGGCTTACCTGTGCACCATGTAAACATTGCCAAGCTGGAAGCAGAATCCAGGTCCATCTCTCCCTAGTTTTGATCAGTTTCTGGATGTCTTGGAGATCAGTGGCTTCAGCACTGCAGACTGGTTTCCTGTTGGTGCCCAAAGACAGAGAGATCTGTTTGATCCCATGTTTCACATGAGCTTTGCTGCTGTCCCTGCAGCAGATTTTGGAGCGCCAATGGTTTGTGGATTTTAGCAATGTGAAATTACAGGGGAAATATTTTGAAACAGGTATGATATTTTTCTGAGACTTTCTTGGTCCTCTTACATAAAGCAAATGAACCAAACCAAATGATTAAAGGACAAACAGGAGAGGTTGTCCCTTACCAGTGTGTTGATGGTCTGTCAAGAAAGGGGGAACATTCACCAGAATGGTGCATTATTCATTGTTCCTCAAAGGTCAAGCTGAGCTGGGGATGCAGCTGCATGTGAAACAGTGACAGTAATTATTAGATAACCTTTTTCCCTTCATTTATCTTGTAGTTCTCTATAAAGCCCATCACTGTCATAGCTTAATGTTTTTAGTTGACTCAGTGGTCTGAACCGAAGACACCCAACCAGTCATGGAGAGCTCCCAACCTGCCTTCCTAAATTTAGCTGACCAGTTGACACTTGCCCTCCGTCACAGCCTTCAGCCTTCCATGACATTTCTTCCATTTTTTTCCAGATGGGTATTTGCTTGAAGCCTTTCATGCTGCAATTACTGGTGTCAGCTGCAGTATCCATGGTGCAGATGTTGCCACCAGGAGGAACAGTTTTGCTGTGAATGTTTTCCATTCTATGGTAGCACTTCAGGTGTAGGGGAGATCTTGGGGTGGCCCCCTTGTCTCCTCCTGGGCAATGTTACCTGTGGTCAGCCCTGAGAAATATCTGCCCAGCCTGGTTTGGAGGACTTGTGGAAGGGAGGGATTCATTGCTTGTGCTTTCCTGGCAGACTCACTTGTTCAGCAGCTCCTGGCACTTGGAGGAGCCCTCAGAGACGGCAGCTCTTCCCATTTTGTGGGTCTGACTGTCAGGACAGTCTCTGGGACCAGTTCTGGTGGTGGTCTGCAAAGGGAGAGAGGCTCCAGCTCCATCTTTCACAATGCTGTTCCCTTTCCAGATCAAGAGGAGTGAAGTGCTTGTCAAGGGGAGCACTACGAGTAGGGAAATATGAAAAGTGGCAGATGTGCAGAGCAAGAAGGAGCCACTTCTACCTGCTCCCTTTTCAGACTTGTCCCAGTATGAGCTTGTTACAGGGCAGGGAGAGAGCAGATAATTTTCCCTGCCTAGAAAATGGTGCTTCACATTCATCTAATTAATACTTGGTAAATACAGAGTCTCTCAAGTGGGAGTGGAAGGCAGCTGTGCAGTTCGCTGTAGCTAGCAGCAGCCAGAGTAGCTAAGGCTGGGATTTCAGCAAACTCCATTAATTAATCAGAGTCAGGCTGGGCTGGGATGTGAAGGGAAGCATCCAAAAAAACCTGCTGTTGTGCTGGTACTTCTCAGGCAGGGTTTGAGATGATGATGAGGAGCTTGGCAGCAGCACCTGCTTTCAGCAGGCCAGCCTGCTCCTCTCTTCAGCTGCACCAGAGGCAGATACCATGCTCTTGTGTCTGAATACAGCTGAAATGCAACTTAAAATTGAACCTGAAAATCACCATACAGCTAAATCTTCAGCAAATTTTGTCTGTTTAAGAAAAAAAAATCTAAATTTCATCTGAGCCTTTAAATAGTTTGAGGCTCTTCTTTCAGCTGGCCAGAATTGGCTTGGATAGCCCAAACTTTGCATAAACATCCTTATTTTTGTACTTGTCAATGGTAAGAGGAAGAGGCCCTGGGCACTTTGGAAAGTATCTTATTCATTTGCAGGTATGAGGGGAAATACAAAACACAGTGAGCTCATCTGGCTTTGGAGATACTTTTAATACAATTTTGGGTTCTTTTGATGCTGATGAATTTCAAAAGTCTGAAGTATGGTGATGCAAGATGGGCAAGACCTGTGGGGAAGGAATTGTGAGGAAATTAAACCTGCTGTGATTCTGAAAACTCTGTTTCTGTTTGCTGTGCCAATGCCACTGGTTAGAAAGAAAGTAGGTGCTTAACTCCTCCCCCTACATCCAGGCTGGAGGATAACCCAGGGAAATCCCACAGAACCACATCCCTCGGGGACCAGAACTCAAAGCTCGGGATAAGCAGGACCAACATTTGACCAGCACTTGGCACAGCTATTTCTTACTGATCCCACTAGGCTGACAAACTTATGGAAAAAATACTAAGAACCAAAGTACCACAACTTCTGAGCAGCTGGAAAATCAGTGGGCTGTGGTAATGCCAGAGCAGCAAGTCATCTATGCTGGAGGCAGGACACTGTTCCCTTCATGCTCTGCCTTTTGTGTAGTGCATTTGGTGGTTTCTGGCAACATCCATGGCTGAAATGACAACCTCAGCTTTCTCCACTCTGTCACTCTGTGCCACTTACCTGCTTCTGAAGTCCAGGGCATTGTGGTCATAGAGATAAGCTGAAAGAAGCATGAAAAGGTGAGGCACCTGGCAAGTGGTAAAAGAGCCCCAAATGACATGATGGTCCTTGCTGTCTCAGTGCTGTGGCTGGCAGTGAGCCCAAGTGCTGCCTGATTAGGGAATGCCACCAGCACGGGCTGTCACATGTGGCTGTGCCCGTGGCAAAGGGACATATGGAACACCTGTGCCAGTGCAGGGCAGAGCTGGCACAGCTCCTCCTTTACTCACTCACAGCCATGGACTCATGAGCCAGTCTGCCTCACCCTCTGTGCCAGCCTTTTTTTTTTTTTTTTTTTTTTTTTTTTTGCTCATCAGTCCAGAGAAAACTTTCCAGATCACAGGGTCCTGCTGTTTCCAGTCCCCTGGAGAAGACAGAGGTGTTATATTGATGCCTTCATGTGAGATGCACATAAAAGTGTGAGGCCAAGAGGAGAAATCTCTGCCACAGCCCTTGGCTGGACCATATCATGAGTGTTTAAGCAGAGATCTCTGCTGTTATCAGAGAAACAACCCTGTAGCCCAAAAAATCTGATGGTGTGATTAATCCTGTTTCCTTTGCAAGCCTCTGTTTCCTGCTTTTTGTTTTTCACATGAGGTTTGCTTTTTGCATTCTTTCCTATTTAAAAGTAAATCAGAAAGCTTTTAAAAACCTGTGCTGTCTCAGCTCAGAAGCGAGCGTGTGCCTTGCCTTCAAGTTATCAAATTTCCCTTAGATGTTTCTCTTTATTGAAAACCTGCAGTTGAATTAAGGAGAATCTGCTATAGTGGTGTGTTGTTTGGGGTTTTTTCCAGAAGCTTTAGGTCTTCACTGCAAGGATTTCATTTGCAGGAAAGAGCTAAACTCTCTGCTGTGATGAATGTGCAGCAGGGGGGAATGATGTGGGTCATGGCTGTGGGTTGATCTCAGAGTGCTGCTGAATTAAGTCCTGACTCTGTAAGCAGCATGATGGTCTGTTCTTTCCACAATCTGATGGCATGTTCAGATTGAATCATAGGCTGTCCTGAGTTGGACCCACAAGGAACATCAAGTCCAAATCCTGGCTCTGCACAGGACATCCCAAGAATCCCGTCGTGTGTTGATGTGATGGATCCCATCACCCCTGAGAGTGTTGCCCAAATGCTTCCTAAACTCTGTCAGGGTTGGTGATGTGGCTACTGTGACCCTCTCTCTGGGTGAAGAACCTTTTCCTAGGTGGTGGGACAGGGGTGAAGGCTGGAGGAAACCATCCAGCCTTTTCTCCTGCAGAAGGGACATCCCAGTGCCTGGACACCCATGGGGGAGATGGCTTCAAAGAGCAGCACAACAACCCCTTGCTTTCCTTTCCTGAAGCTTCACAGCCCTCTCTAAAAGTCTTTCTCAGCCTCAGCAAATCCCTTCCTACAGCAATGAGCCCCTCTTGCTCTGCCAGCTGCTTCAGAGAGGCAGCTTGGGAAAGCATTTCCCCAGAGAAGGGGGAGAGTACACCTGGAGCCCAAATATTGCTCCCAGGCCCCAGCTTGGAGCGACCTCAGCTCTTTGTTAGCAGAGAGGGGGGAGTCATGGAGCAACAAGAATGGCTGGTGACCCAGAGCCATCCCTGTGCTGGGCTGGAGCTCTGCTCCCTATGGAGCAGATGATGAACCAGTGTTGGTCCCTGTGCCCATTCTCTCCCCTGCCCGGGCACAACTGGGGACACATTCCTAAACCCAGCCCTGCAGAAGCAGTGAATGTCCCCTCTCAGCCCTCAGGAGAAATCAGCTCT